TGCAGGGGCACACAGTATTCTCCCATGCTATGACTGGCCAATTCCTTAAGGGGTTGGATCGTCTCTTCCCGTAGGTTAGGCCTCCAGTCCCACAGTGGGACCTGAACTTGGTGCTGGCCCAGTTGACGGGTTCCCCCCTTTGAGCCACTAGCTACATGCTCCTGGTCGCACCTCTCATGGAAGGTAGCCTTCCTGGTGTTGATCACATCTACTAGACGGGTCTTGGAACTCAGGGCCCTGACCTCTGAGCCCCCCGCCCCCGCTGTCAATTGTGAGGGCACACTCTACTACGGTGCAAGACTCGTCGGCTGCCTTTTTAGCCCATGTCCCCATTCAGGACATTTGCAGGGCTGCCACATGGTTTTCAGTTCACATGTTCACCTCGCATTATGCGATCGTCTACCAAACTGGGGAAGATGCCGGGTTCAGCAGGGCTGTGCTCAGTCCCGAGAGTTTGTGAACTCCTACCCACCTCCAACAGATATAGCTTGGAATCACCTATTGTGGAATACACTTGAGCAATCACTTGAGGAAGAAAAGACAGTTACCTTTTCTGTAACTGGTGTTCTTTGAGATGTGTTACTCATTTCTATTCCACATCCCACCCTCCTTCCCCTCTGTCAGAGTTGTCTGGCAAGAAGGAACTGAGGGTGGGGGGAGTGCTCAGCGCCCCTTATACCGTACCATAGAGGAGCCACTCCAGGGGGCGCTAGGGGCGCTCCCCTACGGGTACTGCTAGGGGGAAAACTTCCAGCACCAGGGCACATGGCGAGCACGCACACCCATTGTGGAATAGACATAAGCAACTCATCTCAAAGAACACCAGTTACGGAAAAGGTAACTGTCTTTTCTCCAGTGGGGTTGACTGGAGGTAGACCTGTTCATAATTAGTTCCAACAAAGAGAGTCACCTCTTCCACTGCAGAGTGAGCAGGGACAGTCTGTCCTTGTCATATGTTTTCCTTTTGCACAGGGAAAGGGTTTGATGTGTGCCTTGCCATTGATCCAGAAAGTTAGTGAAAAAGATGGTAGGGCAGGGCAAGGATAATTCTCATTGCCCCAGCCTGACACCATCAACAGTGGTTTACTTATCTTCTGCAACTTGTCTGGCGAAGTCTTTCTGTGTCTTCCTCTGCCTCCAGACCTACTATCTCAGCAGGAGGACAAGATCTTTCACCCAGACTCGCTGTCTCTTCACTTGACAGCATGGGTGCTCGAACTTTGCTCTTGAGCAGTCATGTTCTTCATCTGTTCAGGGCAGGCTAATTAACTGTAGAAAACAGCCCACTAGAGCGATTAGCGTTTAAAGAGGACCAGATTTTAAGCATAGAAAACGAGAAAACTTGATCTGTATCTGCTTTCATTCCTTGTGTTCTGGAATATTTAATGTACTTAAAGTCTGGGGCTTATCTAACTCATTGTTAAAAGTCCCTTTGGTAGCCAATTCTGTGTATCAAACTTTATTTAGTAGTGGATTGCTGTTTCTTCATTCGGTCAAAAGGTTTATGAAAAGTTTATTAAATTTATGCTGTCTGTTCTTGGAATCTCAATTTGGTGTTGGCCATGCCCCTTGAACCCTGGGCGGAGTGTTCTTTCTAGCATTTATCGATCAGAACAGCTTTTGCTATTGCCATCATGTCAGCTAGGAAAGTGAGTGAATTGAATGGCCTTGTGGCTGATCCACCTTTCACTCCTTTTCATAAGGACAAGGTAGGTCTCCGACCTGATCCCAGGTTCTTACCTAAGGTGGTGTCTGATTTTCATAGGCAGTGTTATTGTAGCAGTGTTGGTGCTAGAATATTAGAGACACAAATTGGGTGAGGTAATATGTTTTGTAGACTTACTTTGCTGATGAGAGAGACAAGCTTTCAAGCTTACAGAGAACTCTTCTTCAGGTCAAAAGAGCTCTGCATGAGCTTGTCTCTCTCACCAACAGAAGGTATTATCTCACCGACATTGTCTCTCTGATTTTCATGTCAGTCAGACAAGTAATTTGCCCTCCCCCCACCCAACCAAACTGCACTCTAATAAGGGGGAATCATCCTACACACTGTATGCGCCAGACGGGCTCTCGCCTACTACTTAGAACGAAAAATTGTCATAAATTGTCTAGATTGTTTGTGCCGTATGCTAAACACCACATGGGTTATATGGTTTCTTCTTCGAGTGATTGCTCATGTGTATTCCACAATAGGTGTGCGTGCTCGCCACATGCACCAGTGCTGGAAGTTTTTCCCCTAGCAGTACCCATGGGGGGGGAGTGCCCCCGCAACTCCTGGAGTGGCGCCTGCCTGGAGCGGTATAAGGGGAGCTGCGTGCTCCCCCCACCCTCAGTTCCTTCTTGCCGCCAGTAAAGGTGTGTCGGAGCTTCACTATAGCTCGTCCCCAGAACTGTTCGTTGGTTTAGTACATGTAGTTAGTTTAGTTTGGTTAGTCAGTGAGCCCGGGCCGGGGCATGCCCCGAGCCCCGGGATTTAAGTCGTGCGGTTCTTGTCGGCGTTCTATGCCAAAGAGCGACCTGCACACAGACTGTTTGCACTGTCTGGGAGAGAACCACACCAGCGAAAGGTGCAAAATTTACAAATCGTTTAAGCCCTGGACCAAAAGGGAAAGAGACATTAGGCTCCGGGCCACTCTGATGGAGTCGGCACTGACCCTGTCCCCGGCACACCACAACGAGCCAGTACCGGGCACCACAGTTTCAGTACGCGGCGATCAGCCGGTGCCTTCGACCAGTCAGCACTGTTCCCCATTCACGGGACACGCCAAGAGGACCAAGACTCCCTCCTCGCAACGGCACCGAAGGAAGTCTCAGAAAGAGGCTAGGCCCATGTCGGGAAGTCCTCGATCCCCATCGGGCCCCAGGCCTCCAACTCGCGTAGAGCGGAGTAGCCCGGCCTCTTTGGAACAGGCCTCTCCAGATGTCTGGATGCCTTCCACACCCAAAACCCTCCAGCCGGCCCTGTGCTCGGAGCCCCGCCCATGTCGGCCCCGCACTCCAGAGGCAAGCCACCGCTGGTATCTCTGCAGTCGCCTCTTCCCATACTCTAGACCCCCGGTTCCAGAGTGGGACTTAAACCTGGTCTTAGCTCGTCTTACGGGGGCCCCCATTTGAGCCATTGGCCACGTGCTCCTGGTCTCACCTTTCATGGAAGGTGGCATTTCTGGTTGCTATTACGTCAGCTAGACGAGTCTTGGAGCTCAGGGCCCTGACCTCTGAACCCCCGTACACGGTTTTTCACAAGGACAAGGTCCAGCTCCGCCCACACCCCATGTTCCTCCCTAAGGTGGTCTCCACATACCACATGAGTCAGGAAATTTGCAGAGCTTCAACCCGCGCTTCGGTACACACTGTAACCAGGCACTATGGTTTGGACTTGATCTCTAGGGCAGATGCTGGATTTGATAAAGCGGTGCTTCAGTCTCTGTTCGGTTAGGACTCTGCTCCCATCTCCAGGTGAGTTTGAGCACTGCTCCTCAGTCTGTCCCATAGGTGGCAATATGCAGAGCCACTCGAAAAAATGAACTTAACTTACTTGTAACCGGCATCCCTCGAGATGGCTCTGCATGCTTACCCTTCCCACCTGCCTCCCCCTCTCTGTCAGAGTCCTTGTTTGTTCTGTCTCTGGCTTTGCAGTGGAAGGAACACAGGTGATGAGGACTCTCCACCCCCTTTACTGCCTTGTCCTCAGTGTGTCGGGATGGTGTGGGAGAGCCCTGCTAGAAGGAGGCGGTGCAGTCCCCATAAGTGTGAATGTGCAGAACCATCTCAAAAAACTCTGGTTTTGTTGTTTTTGTTTTTGTATCTTTCTCATCCCCTCTCACTTATACTAGGTTGATGGGAGGACATGGTTTGTAGGTATCTGGAAGCATGTGTTCGGAGAGGGACTCAGGTGTGATTTGGAAAGCTCTGAGGGAACAAAATGAAGGGGTAGGTTATAAGTGAAACTCCAGTTTTGTTCCTAGTGGCTGCTGTTATAACCCAACATTAGAGAAGTGTCATTGTAACTACTCTGGATTTGTTAGATCTATCAACTTTGGGATCTTAGTTAAGAACATTGGGGTGAAAGGCTGTGCTGAAAAGGAGTTCCCAGCAGGCTAGCTTGTATATTAGGCTTGAACGTGATGTGGTGATGCTGGAATGCCTTTGAGCTTACATTGTTTGGAAGGTACTGTAACTTCCCCACCTCTGGATGGCAGGTGGGGTGAACTAGATTGAGCAGCAGCATTCGAGGTGCACTCCTATAAGGCGTATGTGGTACAGTTTCCTCAAACAGGGCTCAGACCCTCTGGATGGAAAGGGCTTTGGGTGAAATAATCTTGACCCAAGTGCCTTCAATTTAGGCTTGGAAAGATTTGATTTTTATCAGTAAATGTCGACGAACATCCATTTCACTGTACATACACAAACTGATGCCAACATATTTCCATCAGTGGTAATGGTAATTTACAGCTAGGCAAAGAAAAATGCTGCTTGAGAACTAATGATTGATGTAAGGCTGTTTACTTCGTAGATTTTGATGTGATGTTGGCCGTTTTGTGTTTTAACCGTTACAAATCTTTAACTTTTTGAATCTCTGCATCTGTTGTCATTAAATTGTCTGATGCACACACACCCAGTAATTTCCTGAAACTGAACATTTAAATTGAGAATTTTAAAAAGCATAAAAATAAACATTATCTATTGAAATTATAACAAAAAATAGAATTCTGCCAAGCCTGCTGAAATTGAAGGGAAGAAGCTTACATGAATGTGTGCAGTTCTGTGGTGCAACGAATGCTAGCTCTGGGCTGTGTCATCTGAGACCGCAGTTTCTGTGTTTGTTCAATGGGGTACCCATCCTGAGCAGGGGTTCTGGCACCATGACAAGATATAAATATTTACAACCGCTGCTCCTGAGAGACAGTGCAGCTTGGAGCATTAAGGTCTCTCTCTTGTCTGTCTGGTGGACGGTATGTAACTTGATGGTGATGGCTGACATGTCTGAAATGGCCTTGCAGCCCTGCTCCTGTGGAACTGCTGAACCCAAAGCTCCACCGCCCGGCACCTTTGATGTCGAGACGCCTGAGCATCAGCCTCACAAATCAATCGCAGCCCCTGCAAAAAAACCCAAGCTGGATAAAAAGCCGTGAGTTCTCCCCTTTCTCCAGTCCTAGGTGGGACCAAGAGGACCAAGCTTCAGTCCCTCTAATGCTCACATTTTTGCTGAGCTTCAGGATCTCTACCCATTTGATTAATTGCAGCAGGAGACATTAATCTTTGTTTGGCCTTCCATCCAGCAGCTCCTCTCCCCTGCAAACTCTCTGCTAATGGCTGCAATCCTCTGAAGCAGTGAACCTACAGCAGATGTCCGACTCACTGATCTGATTTCTTACAGGCCTCCTGTGACAAACCTAGCAAAAAAAGTTTTGAAGGAAACAGTGGAGGTAAAGTAACCAATTGCTGGCCTCTTAGATCCCCCTGCTATTCTCAATCTGGTAATAGACTTAAGAAATTGACCAGAATATCCCTCCACTTGGGCTGTACAACCATCATGCTCTGATCTTAGTACTGCAATACATGCTCCAAGGTGCATCGCCTAGACCAGTGTTTTTCAAAGTATGGGTCCCGACCTAGTATTGGGTCGCAGAATGTCAGGCACTGCTGATTCAAATTATAATGATTGTTGCCGTGCAGCAGCTCTAAAGGGCCACACAGCAGGGACCTGGAGAGGAAAGAGGTAGGTGGTGGGTGGGAACTGGGGAGAGGAGCAAGTTGGGTCTTGCAGGACTGCTGCAGGCCTCTCCCCCAGCCCTGGAGCTCGCTGCTGTCAGCCAGGAGAGAGGGACCCTTCCCATGGAGCTCCATGCAGAGGAAGAGAGAGGCCCTTCTCCTGGTGCTCTGTGCTCCGTGCTGCCTGCTGGCAGGGGGAGAGAGAGGCCCTTCCCCCGGAGCTAGCTGCTGCCTGCCAGCAGGAAGAGAAGCCCTTCCCCTGGAGCTAGCTGCTGCCAATGGGCAGAGGGCTGTGAGGAGTCCTCCGGCCCCAGCCCTGGAGCAGCCTGCCTGCACCCCAAACTCCTCATCCCTGGCCCCACCTTAGAGCCCTCACCCCCAAACCCCACCCTCTACCCTACCCAGGGCCACTTCCCACACTCCTTGCCATAGGCTTACTAAGGCTAGTGTCTAGTGTTAGTTATGTAAAGTGGGTTAAGCTGGAATGTATTGCAATATTATGATTTTATGAAAACTCTAGTTAAAAGATATAATTATGTTGGGTCACGGGCATCAACTATGTTCTTCAACTGGGTCACGAGGAAAAAAGTCTGAAAACCACTGGCGTAGACAGTGTTCATACAAATGCTCTAACACAGCTGCCTAAGTCCAAGGGCTATTCTAGGTTTGCCGGCCATCCGTTCTTAATAGTTTCTGGGCATTTCTACAGTGCATTCAGTTGGCACACACACTATTGCTATTGCCAATGACACCAGTGGTGTTAAACTCGAAGGATCATGGCGGCAAACACTTTGAAGAGAGCTGGTCTTACTAGCCACATGAAGCACAAACACTTGCTCCCAAGCTTTGTTCTTAATAGCAAGAAACCATAGACATTGATACTGACTAGCTGAGAAGCTGCAGTTCCATGGTCCACGTTAAAAGGGTAAACCATGGGGTACATGAGCAATAATTCCTAAGCTGCTTGGTAAGGTTTTCAGTGATATCTGTTTCTGTAAATGAAATTCAGGGAGTAAAGCTGCTCATGCTCTCTTTCCTGGGACAGAACTGGGCAGGTGAGCAAGAGGATGACCCTCTAGAAGAATTCTTTCCTGCATTCATCAGGAACTCGGTTCTTTCCAGGAAGCCACCTGTGAGCAGCCTGCTGGGGCCACACAAGAACACAGGAGCTGTGAGTATGTGCCCTGGCCAATCAGAGCAAGGATGCTGCTCCCTGCCCTCCAGTGGTGGAGGCTTGTCAAGGGTCAGTCATAGGCATCCTAGCCCCCTGAGTGATCTAAGAGGGAGTGAATGAAAACAAGACTCTTGCTTTCCCTATGTGTTTGTGGATGTGAGAAATGTGGCTAGAGACTTCCCTTTAGAGCCCTCTGTCTTCCCTCATGCACTGTGAAGCTAGTCAAATGGCCATCGCCCTTCACTGAGATCCTGTCCACCATCATTCCTCTAGCTCTCGACAGCTTGTGTGTCTCCCCCACGTTTCCCACTAAAGGTCCTATTTCTTTAAGGGAGGTTCTGTCTGTTGTGTAAGCTTCCATCAGAATATGGCCAAGTTCTTCAAAAGTGACTTTGGGCACCCAACTTGGAGACCCTCAAAGGGACCTGATCGTGAGAGGGCAGTTGCTCAGCATTTCCTGAAACTCTGGCTTCTTTATTGTCTCAGGTCAGGCACCTTAGTTGCTAGTCTGCTTTGACCAAAGCATTCTGTACATGATAAGGTGCCTGGAACTGTCCCTCCCTTCCAGTACACTGCAAACTTCCAGCTTGGGTGAAGTACCTAGCATCACCCAAGAGGCAGACCTTGCGTGGTGTTATATCTTTTCTCTCTTCTCTTCTAGGTGAGAATGGGGTATGATGGCTTAGGAGGTAGAACTAAGTTCATACAGCCCGTATCCTTCCCCACCATCTGCGCTGTGGAAATAAGCGGGCAGGAAGCTCTGCTTTGCTTCCCTCTCATTTGGGGCGAGTATGTAGGGTGATTAATGCATGGGCTTCACTTGGGAATGGGCTGGGGACTCTTTAAGGGAGAACGTGGTGGAACTTGTTTAAGTGAGCACTTTGCCCACAGAAAAGACTTATTTTAATTAGTCTGTTTTCTATGCACCAAGTTAAACTGCACACCAAACATGGCCCAGGTGAGAGAGCAAAATATCTAACTACATGTCTGATTAAAGACACTGTTCTGGTGTGTAGTCCCACTACACAGCTCTGTCCTCCAGGCACTGGGGGAGGAGGAAGGGAGACAAATCGGTTGATGGGAACTCTTGAGAGAAACTTACAAGATTCTGATCAATCTGGGAAATTGTGGCTCAGATACTGTGCTGCTGTGGGTCTTGTATGTACGTGGGCACAGGTCCTGGGGCTGTATTTGACCTGTATGTGAATCATGTCATTCACAAGGAATGGGGGAATCTGAGTCATCTGATCACTATGTAATAATTGGCAGCTCTTGGACTGTCACTTGTGTGGCCATGTTCTCTGGGCAGGTCTGAGACCCTTCCACATGGTCCTGATTTAAAAGTTAACCTATCCTATCCTGGAGCTGGTAATAAATCACCCTACTCCCCATTTTCAGACTTGTTTTCCCTGACAGTTTTCCCTTCAGACAAACCCAATGGAGATCCGTCCCTTAACTGTAAAGAGCAGGAAGAGGAACGTCTCCAAGCCAGCATCCACAACTGCAGCAGCTTCCTCCTCTGGCACCAGCCAGGCAAAACTGGACAGCTTCCTTCAGTAAATCTGAAGGCTTTCCTGATCACTTAGGCATGCGTGGGCAGAAGCCGTGGAGCTTACCTACATCTCTGCAGAACCAAGGCACTGGGACCAACATACAGTGTCAGAACTCTCCCATGGGCTGAAACTGCCCTTTCGTAGTTCGCTGTTGATCCAGTCCAGGCTGACTACACCGTGAGCATGGCGAGGCAGGATGTGCCATGTGCTGCCAGCTGTCCTGGGAGATGGGGCTCCTGGCACTGAGCAACCTGCCTGCCTTTGCCTGACGTGCAAGGTCACTGGTTTGTGCTCAAGAGCTCAGGACTCCCTGTGGGTGGGGTGTGTGGATCCCTCAACTCTGCTTGGTTTGACTCATCTCGGCCTCACTCCTAGGCAATGCAGTAAAGTGTGGGACAAATCAGACTTAGAAATCTCCTGGCTGCTGATTGGTTCGGGCCTGGCCTTACGAGGCTGCATTTCCCCCAGGAGCCTTTGTTGGCAGAGAATAAACAATGAATTTCCTCGCCCTGCTTCCCTGGTCTCTAAGGCTTTGGCACTTCTGGTGGCAACGGGCCCCTTGGGGGACACAGCACTCTAGCTTGGTTTCAGGAGTATCGTATCCCTGAAGATGAGGAAGGGGATCCAGTGTCTGTTAGCCTGTAGCATCCAGAGCTGATTTCCACGCCAGGGATGGGCAGTCTCCCCATGCTTGATGTTTCATCTCCAACTGTCCTGGCTAGTAGTGCGGCATGGCAATCCTCTCCCTATCCTGGAGTCTTTGGGCCGGAGCGTGCCTGGTGCAACCCCACCTGAAAGGAGGAGTCTGCCTCAGGCACGAATCTGGTTTTTAATCTGAGAGCCAGGGGAGACACCTCACGTTGACACCTTACACCTAGTCATGGCAGCTGGGGACTTAGCCTAGCAGGAGACTGCTTTGGAAGGGACAAGGCCAGAATCCATGGCAGACAACCATTCTGTGTTGCTGTCTCTGCCATCCCAGCAGGTAGCCAGCCTGCCGATTGTCCATAGAGCAAAACTGTGTGTGATTTGTTGCTGTACAGTGGGCATGCGACAGGCACTGTACTGTTTTATCTGACCTCCAAGCAGCTGCTTGGCATGCACAGGTTTGATGAGGAGGCGGGTCTGTAATGAGGCAGTGGGGAATGGGGTGATCTTAGCGTTTCTAGCTCAGCAGCACCAGGAGCAGGTGGCCTTTCCCAGCTCGCCACTTCTGTAGGGCTTTATTTTCCAGAATCAAGAACTTCACGTCTCTGTACCAGGCTCTTAAAGGGGCAGGCGTCTATGATTTTCTGGATGCTCTGCAAACTTTGGTTTGGAACTTATATTTTTATATATTTAATCAATTTTTTTAAATGATATGATGAGTTTAGAAATGCTCCTCTGAGATGGATCCCTCCCTACTGCTGCTTGAGTGTTAAATGCAAAATACCAGCCCAGTTACACTTACTGGGAAAGAAATATGATGGGGCTGCTGATTGCTAGAGGAGGGCTTTATTCTGCTGTCATTGGCCTTAAACTCAGTCTGACGTCTCACATTTCCCAAGTGGTTCTGTTCCAGATCTTGCCCTGATACAATGGAGCCCTCTTCAAATTGTGCTGTTTATAATGAATTGGCTAGTGAGCATGGCTTGTTAGAGAGCTGGCCGGACAGATCCAGCATTGGTACAGGCTTATCTGGAAACCAAAATGAATGGATTAAAGGCAGAGCACTAACTCCACTGATTTCAGCATCAGCAGCTGTTTGTGTCAGTGCCCAGCCCGTGCTGTGTGGGTGCCCCAATTCCTGTATGTCCCTGAGAATGTGTGCCTTTATTAAATAAATGTGGTGTACAATATGGAGCTAGCTGATTTGTAACCTGAGGTGGCCGCTGCTGTCTCTTCTCAGCGAAGGTCTCACTTCTTCCATTGCACTCAGGGAGCCAGGCTCTCACTGGGGAACAGAATTTGAAAGTAGCTGAGACACTCTTGCACATTCCTCTGAGCTAGCTGGTGCAGGCCACTGATGGAGGCAGGGACCTGGGTTATATAGGCCTCTGCTCTGAGCCAGTCTGGTAAGTCCTGTGGGGCCTATTAAAGTATTGCAGCTGCTGTGCCCTGGTATCTTACTCCCTGGTATCTATGGTAGAAGGGCACTGGGCAGGGCATGAAGCTGGCAGCTGAGAAGCTGCAGTGGTGGAGCCATGGTAGATACATGGCCAGAGGCCAGGCTCAGAGCTGTCGGTCGTTCCATCTCCAGAGTGTGGGCTGGCACCCTTGAGTGGAGCTGGAGCTCTGCATGGGGGCTTTCCAGCATCTATCCTTACATGTGGCGTGGAGGTGATCAGTCCCTTGGCTGTCACAGGAGCATTGGGCTGGAATCCTGGATTGCTCCCTAATTTTCCCTCCCTCCAGCAGCTCTGATCGATGGGCTGGGCCCTCAGTGAGGGGAGCACTGGGGCAGTGAGGGAGAGATGACCAGTGGGGGAGTTTGGCTGGAGGGAAGGTGGGAAAGTATTATAGAGGCATAGACTTGAGGGCAGAAGGGACCCTTATGATAGTCTAGTCTGACTTGCACAACGCAGGCCACAGACTCTCACCCACCCTCTCCCGCAATAAATCCCTAACCTATGTTTGAGCATTGAAGTCCTCAAATCATGGTTTAAAGACTTCAAGATGCAGAGAATCCTCCAGTAAGTGACCTGTGCCCCACGCTGCAGAGGAAGGCGAAAAACCCCCAGGGCCTCTGCCAACCTGTCCTGGCGATCAGCTAAACCCTGAGCATGTGGGCAAGACTCACCAGCCAGACACCCAGGAAAGGATTCTCTGTAATAACTCAGATCCCACCGCATCTACCATCCCATCACAGGCCATTGGGCATATTTACCGCTAATAGTCAAAGATCAATTAATTGCCAAAATTAGGCTATCCCATCATACCATCCCCTCCATGAACTTGCCAAGCTTAGTCTTGAAGCCAGATATGTCTTTTGCCCCCACTGCTCCTCTTGGAAGGCTGTTCCAGAACTTCACTCTGATGGTTAGAAACCTTCGTCTAATTTCAAGTCTAAACTTCCTGATGGCCAGTTTATATCAATTTGTTCTTGTGTCCACATTGGTACTGAGCTTAAATAATTCCTCTCCCTCCTTGATATTTATCCCTCTGATATATTTATAAAGAGCAATCATATCTCCCCTCAGCCTTCTTTTGGTTAGGCTAAACAAGCCAAGCTCTTTGAGTTTCCTTTCATAAGATAGGTTTTCCATTCCTCGGCTCATCATAGTAGCCCTTCTCTGTACTTGTTCCAGTTTGAATTCATCCTTCTTAAACGGGGGAGACCAGAACTACACACAATATTCCAGATGAGGTCTCACCAGTGCCTTGTATAACGGTACTAACACCTCCTTATCTCTACTGGAAATACCTCGCCTGATGCATCCCAAGCCCGCATTAGGGGTCGCATAGAAGTGTGAGGAGGCCTGGGGGCACATGGAAGTTAAGTGCTGCAGGGTATCAAGGTGGGGAGCAAACCAGCTCTCTTTGGAGAAGGATGGTGGCTAGTCAGGTGCTGAGTAGCTGCTCTCTCGAGTCTGGCTATGGAGGAGGATGAGTAGCTACTGGGAGCACAGGGATGGAGCCAGGGAGCAGGTCTGGGACAGGAGTTTATCTACAAGGCAGGGGGATTGGGTGGCCCGACACTAAAGCTTTCTAGCGCAGTGCAGCCAGCACTGAGGCACTCACCCCACAGTAGCAGGCACCTGACAACCAGGCATTCCAGGAATTGAAACTGACTCTGCACCAGCTTGGAAACGGTCCTGAGGGGAGTCAGGATGCCTGGCTCCATCCCCTTTTCCTCAGCTTGCAGGCAGCTCCTGGTGCTGGGAAGGAGGCCCTCGGAGGCTTGATAGACCTGGCCCTTAGCTCAGCACTGAATTACAGGTAGATTAAAGCCAGGAGAGGGCAGGTTAGCTTGACCCTGTGTTGGTGCTACTGTGGGCATGTCAACACAACATTAAGTCAGGTAGGTCGACCTACTGCCACCACAGTAATGAAATCAGCTGTTCATGTCCACACTACCCTTGTTCTGTTGGTGGTAAATGTCCTCATCAGGAGCACTTGCACCAACTGAGGTGGAGCACTAACAGCAGGAGCCTCGCCACCCAAGAGCTGACAGCTGGAGCCCCACCACCACCTCATAGCCCGGCGGGGCTTGTGCTGTCAGCCCTGGGCTGGCAGGGCTCGGGCTCTCAGCCGCTAGGGGCTGACAGCCAGAACGGTCAATGCAGCATCTACACTGACACTAAGTCAACCTAACTATGCTGACCTAATCGCTATGCCTCTTACAGAAGTGGAGTTTTAGGTTTCAGGG